ATACACAGAGCTGCACTGCCAACACAGCTGAGAAATTCAGAGCAAGTTTACAAGCAAGCCCACTGCTGCCAGTTACAGCGCTTCTTGGGAAATCAAATCATACAGGCCAGCACTGTAAATTATTTATCTTCCAGAACCAATCTTCCTATTTTTCATGCAAAATGATGACTGTTTGTTAATAAAATTACCATCGTGAAATGAGCATTGCTCAAGAGACCCTGGTCAGAAAATGGAAGATTTTTCCATATTCCTCAGGCTTCGTTAATAACAATTAACTGTACACAGAAAGGAGAATTGTCCTTTGCAGGGAATTACCCTAGAATTATACGGCTGTGACAGACACCAAAACACCGGGCTAGGCACCCCCCAGTGACTAACCCCAGACAACTGTCATCATGCAAAACACGAGGGTGCGCTTCCTTTCGGTGTCAGCGCAGGGCAGCAGGGACACGGGCGGGTTTAACGACTCAGCCGAATTCTTGGAGATCTTTGTGATCCAACCCCCCTCCGGCCAGGAACCCCCGTGGAAAGCGGCAGATGGCGAGGGGGACAAGCTCTGCTGCTGGCAGCGTCCTCTGACAGCGCACACAACCGCCACCCTTCCCCCTTCTCCAAAACAACCCTGAGCACGCAGGCAGGTTTTAGCGTGTGCCTCTTGTTCTTCTCCTTATTCCCTCCCGGCCCTTCCAACCCGCAGAGATTCCCTACAGAACGCATCCATTCCTCCCTCCCCAGGTGGGATGCGGCTGGCACGGCGCATTCCCAGCGTCTTCAATGGGAAGTTCTATACAAAGCCGCGCTGCCCGGGCCGCGCCTCGCTCCTGCCGGCCTCACGCACCGGGAGCTGCAGGCTTTAGAAGGGGAAGATTTCACCGCCTCCAACCGAAGCCAAAGCACGATCCGAAGGGCGCAGCTCCAGCCCCTCGCTCCCGGCCGTGGCTCAGACCCCGTCGCTTCCTCCTTCCCCATCCTCCCCCGGGGACACCATTTTCCCACACCACGGATGATGCGGGCGCTGGCCGTAGCCCCCGCCGGGGCCACCTTTAGCCTGCTCCATCCCCTCCATCGCTCTATCTCCCTGCGCCAGGCATTGCCGCGACTCAGCGCTGCCGCCCGCGGAGGGGCCTGCGGGGCCCTCCAGCACCGGGCTTGGCACCTTCTACCCGGCCTGGGTGCGCGGAGCCGGGATGCGGAGAAGAGCAGGGGGATTTGCGCTATTTCCATGCACCCCCCTCCCGGTGCTTTGCAGCGGCTGCGGAGAAGCTGAACGCTGCAGGTAGCTCTAAGCATTGTGGGATACATCCCCGCACATCCCGGCCCGCACGGGCCTCCCGCTCCCGCACCTGCCCCGCCGCTGCCCCGCGCTGAGCCCACCCTGCGCGGCTGCAGGGTACCGGGAGCGGCGGCGGGCGCAGCCCCCGCGCAGCCCAGGATGGGGAGGGCGGGCGGGTGAATGGGAGCGGGTAAGGCCGCGCAGCCCCCGCGCAGCCCCCGCGCAGCCCCCGCCACTCACCTGGCGCTCCGCGGGTGCGATGCTCCCCGCCGCGGGATGCTCCGCGCCGCCCGCACAAAGAGCAGGAAATGGCTGCAGCAAGTGCACTTCCGCGGCTCTCCGCCGGCCCCTCCGCACGGCGGCGGGGGGAGCCCCGGCCCCCGCCGCGGGAAGGCGGCTCCTCCCCCGGGCAGCGCCGGGGCTGCGCGGCGGGGCTGGGGGGCCGCGTCCTCCCCTCCGCTGTTGCTGGCGGGGGGCGGCAGTGCGGCCCCGGTGGGGAGTGGTAAGGCCGGGACCCCCCCGGTGTGCGGAGGAGGACGGGGCTGGGGTCGGCTGCCGCAGCCCCTCCACCCCCCGGTTTGGTGCTGGACGAGCGCATTTGTGTCCCTGAGATGGCAGGAGCCGTCTGGAGTTCCCCATCGCCCTGCTGCTGAGATTGCAGGGTCTCAGGAGTCCAGCCTGCCTTCCCCACATCATCCTTCGGCTGTGCCCACCATTTTAACGAAAGCCCCCGTTACAGGGAAAGCCTTGGGTCACCCAGCATGTTAGGGACCAAAAGCAGAAGGCAATCAGTGCCTTTGCTCAGAATGCTATAAGCCTCTTCTGAGTCAGCACTGCATCCAAAAGATCTTCCTTTTGGCATTTTTGGCATCTGGCATTTCTTCAGGGACAAGCTTCCAGTCCTTCTGCTCATGCTTCTTTTTAAAGCTCCAATACAGCTCTTCAGATCTACTGTGAAATCCAAGCGGGACTAGTTTTCACAGGAACATCGCCTCGTGGTGATTGATAGAAGCCCTGCGCAGGGCCTTAACTAATTTTTCTGCAGCCCTCAGCCTCTGTTATGGCTGTTTTGTTTGTTGAAGGACATTGGTGGGTACACAAAGACTGTTGAGGGTCTAGATACAGGTCTAGGTATGTTTATTTGGTGGCTCTGGCAGTGACCTTTACCTGAGCATCAGCCTATGATGCTGACCATTCCTGATTCCTTAGAAACCATTGCCCTTCTGTCTGTGCTAGCATGGGCCTGAGCTTGCTCCTCATGGGTATATGCTGGCTCTGCAGGGAAGCTTGGACACCAGGTTTATATCACAGCTCTGCTACTATAAGCTGAATGGATGCCATGGGCTGAAGGCACCAGGGTGTGCAAACTACAAAAGCATCCTTAGGAACTATCTTTGTTTTTATAGACAGGACCACACCTGAAAAAACCCTATTGATAGCATATGTGGGAGTAGACTCTTCTCCTTCCCCTGCATAGTGTTTATTCTATCTCACCTTTGACAGGAACATTTTATAGCCATCATTTCTCTTTTTACTATTTATTATTAGTCAGAAAAATTCAGTAAGTGAGCACAGTTAGTGCAGATCCAAAAGATTTAACAGCTGATACTGCTCTGAGGCCATGGGTGAAACAAGGTCAGCCCAAGAAATCTGTGGCAGTAAAACCTGCCGTGGACTATTTTTTTGCACAGTTTAATCTGCCCCCATTATCGACCATGCTCAGGGTGATGGGAATTCCTTGGATGCTGTGATATTAATTTTCTACTCTGTGTTGTCTTAGATTGTACAATAACAGAACGAGCTGCTTTGTGTTTGTTGTGCAGCTCTCTGCAGGCTGTGAAGAATGGCAGAGAGGGGCAGGCCCCATGCAGCTACAGATGCAGGAGTGTGTGCATCAGTGTTTACGTGGGGAGAGGTAACATGATGGTGGGGTGGGGTGAACTGAACAGAAGAATACACACAAATTTGAAGTGGCTGCCAAGTGAGATTTAGGAGAGCCATTCACCTGAGTTGTGCTGTGCTGATGAGTGCAGTGTTCAGAGAGGATAAAGCCAAACATCACATAGAAACACATTCATCACATAGAAACATATTCATTAAAAAATATTTTGTGAAATTATATTTTTTTCAGGCCTAATTTTAAGGGTTTTATCCTTAAAAGTGGGCCTGAAAAATTATATTCTTGTAATTATCTTTGCAACAACCCTCACTTCCCTGGAGTGACTAGGACATGCCCAGGAAAGAGCTTTCCATGGCTAGCAGTGCCCTGGCCTCCACTGAGAAGCATCATCTGCTCTTTCTGGATGAGGTTACTGCCTGCCTTTTCCTAGCTGGAAACTAGGATGCCAGTGCCCAGACATCACAGCAGCAGGTAGGGGGACATTTAGCTCTGGTCAAATGTGCACCATGGGCAGAGCCATGCACCCATCACCCAAGCTGCCTGCAATACAGACAAGCAAAGAGGATGGGGCTCGTGAAAGGGGAATGGTTTAAACCTTCAGCACACTGGAGATATTTGTGAAGGGGTATTCAGAGGAGGGTTATTCACTTCACAGCAGGAGACTGATATTCACACCTCTACTTTCTGGGGAACATATCTAGTTAAGCAGCATGAAGGGCACAGGTCTAAACTTGCCATAGGAAGGGCTATGGTGGGAGAATACTGTGTTACAGTGTATTAATATCATGCACATAGCATCCTACAACATGATGGTAACTGCACGGTATCTTACTGTCCTTCTGAGACTGGTGAAATCCCCCATAACTAATTGTGGGGAAATACCCTACCCCCATTTTGTGCAGATTCAGAGAACTTCAAGGCACTGCAATGGATATTTAGACTTAACAATCTATAAAAATCTAATTTGCTAGATGTGCTATATATTAAATTACCCAATTTGCAGAGATTCTGGATACTTCCTACTTCCATAAACCCAGCACATAATCTAACCCCAGAACACAGACATGGTTCTGGGAAACAGAGATATTTCAGAAAGCCAGAAGAAGCCTGTCTGCTTCTTGGTGGGGAGGATTTGGAGGAGAGCAAGCTGGGTGATTATAAAGTGCACGAGGATGGATTTTGCATTTTTTCTGTTATAGTGGAAGCCACAGTTGGGACTTGGCAATTTTATTGTTTGTAAAATTATGTACTGTGTACATAGAAATACTGCAGAAGGAAACTGAACATAAAACATCACAGTGTTGTTTTGTGCAACACACTAACTAATAAATATTACACTTATTTCATCCAGATATAAATATAATCTCAGAAACATTACCCAGTGGCACAATATTGCTGCTACTTAATAGCAACCTCCTCAAGCTTGACAGACCCCTGGTTCCTCCAAGGATGGAGGGGGGCAGCAAGCCAGAAGCTTAGCTTTGTGAGCCTGCAGATACCTCTGAACAAGGTGCCTGTGCACAGGGAGGAATCATTTCAGAGTGGTTGTATGGATTGTCTAAGTGAGGTTGAGAGGGGGAGAAAATAGGTCAGCTGTCCTCAAATTTAGCTGTAGATGGGCAGTTTATGGGTAAGGCTACTGAAAACTTCACTGGATAAATGCCGTATCACCAGAATGGGACAACAGGCTGATACTGACAAAAGGATGAGAGGGACAAAGAGAAACTTAGCTTAAATCCACTGTAGACAAAAACTCAAAGTCTGTGTCTAGATGCACATATTCCACACACTGGTTCAGACTACCAAGAGGCAGCAATCCTGATTTGAAGGTAGAACTTTGATCCTGAATTTAAGATGGATAACCTCTGGTCTGAATGTTAGCATTCTTCCTGCCTGGAGAGTTGTTCTTCATGGTATTTGTAGCAGTAAATCAAAGACAATAACGTGGAACCGAATCGAAGTGGGAAGATGTATATGGCAGGGACTAATGCCTTGTTCATATCCATATACCTCAAAAGATATTCTGGCTTCTTAAAGCTACCCTAAAACCACAGGTCTGAAAAACACCTGGAATGAAGCCTCCTATGAAGAAATATTTTAACACAGGATATGTGAGGTCATGGGATTACATTATTTCCTTGTTCCATTTTTATTGGCAAACATTTGAACCTGACTTCTGTAATGACAGGAGAGATTGCTGCTAGGAGTTTGCACCTCAGAGTTTCTGTAAACTGCTGTCACATAAGGTTTACTCATGATCTTACCTGCACAGAGAAGCATCAAAATTACATACTGCATAGATGAACATCTGTGAGACCTCTTGACTTCTCTAGTTATTGTTAATGCTTAGCAGAGAGTCCTGGTCTTATTTACAAATTCTGGACACCAGCACTGACACTTTTGGTTTTCAGGTCAGTTATGTCAAATCACTGCCCCTGTCTTGTGGTGAAAAAATAGAGTTTAACTGAAATACCAGGGGATGGATATTATTTGTACCTCCTCACAAGGTACACTCATGAGGAACTCCTCATGGAGTAAGTGCCCAGACAGTCAATTCGCATGACCTTTTCTTTGATCAGTCTCTGTTCACAGAAGAGATGGAAAAGTCTTTCCTTGTGATGATTCAGTTACTCTTTGATGTATGAGAAAACTCTTCTTATTATCACTGGTGCACCGAGCACATACTCTGCATGTCTTCTCATGGCTACCCTTCCAAGCCCTCTGGCTCCTTCCTTCCCAACACACCAGTTCAGGAGTAGGTTCCTAGACCTTTCACAGATAACCAGATCCTGGGGTGCTATCTTGTTATGGATGGGAAACACACAGCACTCTGCTCTGCTCAGTCCTCCACACTCTGTTCAAACAATTACACGGACATCATGTATTTGTCTCCTGATGTAGAAAGAATGAAGAAAGTCCAATTTTCCATTCTCTATACACTGTGATTTGAGAGAATTTCAAGACTTTTCAACATGTTGATCTTCTCCTCGTTCCTTTACACACTCACATGCACACACAGAAACCTCTTCAGTTTAACAGGTACCAGAATCCTGTTCCTGGTATGCCACAGTTTCAGAGAAAATAATGAAAAGAAGAGCAAAACTACCTTGAAATATCAGCATCAGAAATGCAGACATTAAATCTAGCCTGTTCCCCTGTGTCCCAGGCTCATTCCTGTTCCGAGCTTTCAGGTCCAGCCCACTCTGAATTAGAGAGCCATGGAAATGTCTAAATGTTCCTCCTCAGTTAAAGACAAGATTTTTCTCCCCAGAAGACCTTCATTTGGGAGTTCACAGAACTGGAATAGCAATGTCATATCTCTTAGTTTTGAGGCTTTATCTTCAAGACAAAAACACTTGCTGGGTTGTGTAGTTCAAGACTTTACCCAATTGCTGCTTCTGTTTGTAAGATGCAAACCACATTCTTGGCCAAACCAAAGCCTGTGACTGTCTGGGTTCTGGAAGACCTGGGGATATCTTGTCTGTCTGGAAGTACCAGCCTCTGCCCTCTCCTTCTCCCCAGGCAAGTATCTATGGTGAGAGGATTCCTGTTAATGCTTTGTGTGGGGAAAATGCAGCCATCTGCCCTCTCAGGACTCTTTTAGCTTCAGTTAGCAGCCAGTGCCATGATTACAGATCAAACTCGGAGATTTCACTCAGCTGATACAGCAGAATAGAAAAGGATGGCCGGTCGTCTTTCCTCTGAACAGGGGAGAGAAGAGAGAGGGAGAACGTTAATGTCAGCTTGAGAGAAATGGCATGATTAGGAGGGAAAACTGGAAACTGAGTACTAACAGAAGTACAAGCTACTGTTACAGAGAAAATGCCAGCAGAAGAATGAGTTTCCTTCTCTGTAGTGCTTTGTTGCTACTAGCGGTGAGTTTGCCCAGTGGATACTAAATACCTTGTAATGGCTGGCTGTCATTTTTACCACCACTATTAAAACTCAGCCCCACAGATCTGCAGCTTTCTTAGGAAGCAAACTGTTGAATCAACTTGGGTTAGGAGCATTACATAGACTTCTCAGTGAAGTGAACACTCTACAGAAACAGCAGCTTAAATAAAAGGCAAAGAGCCTGGAGTCTGCTTTCCAGTGCAGATGAAAGCTACAGAGTGCTTCACCTCCAGGATTTTATCTTGTGTTAGTACATGAAGTGTATACTTCTCTCCTTCTAAAAGGCATGGGGAAGAGAGCTTTTGTCTTTGGGAGCTGGGGCTCTCCCATTACAGTACTAACCATCCTCCAGCAGTGGCTCATGACCTCATAGATTGCTTTGGAGGCCAGCCTGGGTTTGTAGAGCCGAAATCCTGCATTGATTTCTTCCACCACTTCTCCATTGGTGCGATTCTCATAGGGGATTTTACCTTCACTGAAGACCTCCCACATCAGCACTCCTAAAGCAGACAAATGAAAACAATCACAAAGCAGCAAGTAAAATCCTTCCACTTGCTGTTCTCTGCAGCTCAGCCCTGTTGTCCTTTACTTGAAAAAGTTTGACTTCTCTGCATCCTATTTCATGATAATCTATCATGACAGGGTCTTTCCCCATGAATCAGATGAAGTCTAAATATGTTTATGTGTCAGAAAGAAAAGCAGGGTTGTATATCTTCTCCCAAATTGTTAAAAGGATGTTGTGTGAGTGCTGCATCCAGATGTGTAATCTGTGAAAGAGAACCTGCTTTTTGTCATTGATTCAGTTTATCTCTTTTTGCTTCCAGTCAATCACATACAAGAGGCATGTCTCTGGTGTTCCTGACAGCAGTGTGTCCTACACCAGAATCTGTTTGCATTTTGGTTAGACTCAGGAGCAAGAAAGCAGTATGAATGGCTCCATTAGTCCATTGCTCCGTTAGCTGACTCCATTAGTTAGCTCAGCTTCAGCAGTGGGAACTCCTCACCTGCAAAAGGTCCCATGTGGTATGATTCCCTGGAATGAATTCACAGGGAATGACACAGGAATTTCAAAGGATTGTGGCATTCCTAAACAGTCATATGTTTTTCTATGATTACTGTTCAGAGCAGCACAGAAACTCATGTTTCTCTTGTGTGATGGACAAGAGATAGGCAAAGACAAAAAGACTGTGGAATACCTTGCAGTTGGCCACCAGATCAGAGAGGCCCTGCAAATGGAGTGACTACAAGGCATCTCTGTTATTGTTATGTTTAATTTCTTTGCTCATATAATATGACTGACTTGGTAAACTGTGTTCACATTGGATTAGAAAAGGGAGACAGACAGATAGACTGATCTGAAATAAAGTTGTCATTCAATTTTGCTAAATAATGCCTGCTGTCCAGCTTTGAATTCTACAAATAGAAGATGCACAGAGATTACGGCACCTCGCCAATGATACTGGCTCTACTGAAGAACAAGCAAAGCAGTTGTACTCCCCCTGTGTGCAGGTTCCTGCACTGGGATTTCTCACATGCATTTTGTTCTCCTGGTCACAGCAGGATTTCAGCCTGGCAGAAGAGATGAATGGGCTGCAGAGTAGTGGAGCAGAAAGCTGCTCAGAGTCATGAGACCATGACATGACAGAAGAATCCTCTTATGCAAACCCCACTGCATAACAAGTCTGACAGATGTACAACACTGCTGGCTACACCTTTCACAAAGGACTGACCAACACAAGCAAAGCTCGCCAGTATTTCATTCAGCCTTGAAACTGGAGTGAGCCAACTTCACCTCTCTTGGCTTGACTGTAAATCTAACTGAGCACCCTTTTTGGACGCATGTGGCTCTCAGTGTATGGGTCAGCTTCCAATCTGTAGAGCAAAAGAACATTCTTACCAAAGTAGCATCTCTCCACATGTCACTGCCACTTTGCTTTGAGGTGTCAGGAATAGTTCCACTGGCAAATGTTACCCCTTGTTATTATGTGGTGAGTGCTGACAGCCTCCTCCACATGCCAGGAGACATGGAAAGAGGAATGGTGCTCTCTGAAGCATCTCAGATTGGGTTAGTGAAGGTGGTTGTGTGGGCCTGAGCACACAGGTCCCACTGTGCTGCTCATAACCTCCTACTGGAATGCACAACTTCAACCACAGCAGAAGACAGCAAGGCGAGAGGGAAGCACAGAATTCACAAGCACAGACTAGCAAAGGTTATAATCCTGCATTATTTACTGCTAGGCCTGGAGCTGAGTGGCACCCCATTGACTGTGTGCTGTGCACAGCACACTGCACCGATTCATGCTGCAGTACCACAATTTGCATGCTAGCTGGAGAGGGGCCAGACACATCAGTGTGCCAGATCAACAGGCCAGGGGATAGCCTTTGTTATCTCCAGTGCCAATGGCCTGGGGGAAAAAAAATATACAACAGTTTTCTTATCTCTGAGGGTCCAGAAGGGAGACCAAAGCACAGATGCAAATCATAAAACAATGCATTAGGGAGCAGGAAATGAGGTGAGAAAATGTGAGCAGTGAAATAATATTGTCAGATTGGCGTAAAGCAAATGGAGTTAGCAAAGCAAACTTGGAAAGGCAGAGGGTTTGAGTGAAGTATGGGTGCCCAGGACTGATATGCAGAGAGAGATAGAGTGCCTAAATAGCTTTCCTTTCCTTGTATAATCTTGTCAGTGACTCTAACCTTTTCTTGGACGTTTCTACTATTATCATCATGAAATGGAGCTCATTATTTGGCATTAAATAGCAGTGCACAGGTATAATACATCAACTTGGCAGTATTTGCAGTGTTCCAAATTACATATATAGTTTATGATTCTTTCTTTCACTTAAATGATTGAGGCGTGCTTTCCTAAGCCAATATTCAGGCAAAACACCCTGGGAGCCCAGAGGAAGTCATGTTTAGGAGAGTTTACGTGAGGACTGAGTCTAAGCTGGTGTTTGTTAATTTTTTTCCATTCTGACAAGAGGTTCTTACCAAACGACCAAACGTCAGATTTGGTGCTATAGTTGCTGTAGGAGAAAACCTCTGGAGCAGACCACTTGACTGGGAACTTGGTCCCCGTGGAGCTGGTATACTGATCATCAAGGACAATCCTGGAAAAGGAAAAGGTGGCAGCACACTGAGTAACCCCACTTATCCCATGACAGCCCTGCAAGGAGCATGCTCAGGCATGGTGGCATTACCTCGACATCCCAAAATCAGATACTTTGACCACGTGGGATTCTCCCACCAGGCAGTTCCTAGCGGCCTGCAAGAAAAGAAGGTGCAAAGACAGAAGGTCAGAGCTGAGACTCACAACCACTCAGATGCTTTCATCTTGGTAGGACAGATAGTGCTTAAAGAAAGGAGGATCAAAGTTTCCACCTTCTTTGATACAACGAAGGTTCTTATGCTTTGTGTACATTTTATGGCCAGCATGTTCCTGTTGCCACAAAAGCATCAGTCTGACATGCAGGCCTTTGTTGCCCGGAAGGGCCAGAGAAAGATCCTAAAATATTCACAACTACTCACAGTTCTTGATCCCCTAACAAAACAGCAGCAGTGACTGATATGGCTTAATTGAACACCACATAATTAAAAGCATTTTATCAGCTATGCATGTTTAGAACAAGCCTTTCTGGCATTTTCACTCATTTTTTCTCTCCCAAACACAGTTAAGGGAAATGTTTAATCAACGCTTCAGGGGATGGGATTTTTCCTACAGTATTGGTGCTTCTTCAGCAATAAGGGGAGATACTGCATCTCCTATCAACAGATAGGCAGGAGGAGTGCGAAAGCTGAAACTGAGGAAGGGAGAAAGCACAGGTAAACATTCAGCTGGAGCAGAGGAAGTCTATGTGGGATCAACATACGAGGTCTCTGTGGATGACAGAGTTTTGTTCCAGATAAGCCATTCCTTCACACACATCTTGGCACATCCCCAGGAGGGTTTCCTTTGAGAAAATGCCCCGCTGGCTCCTGAGGTAGTCGGACAAGCAGCCGTTCTCCATAAACTCGAACACCAGGCATATGGGGGTGTTGTCAAAGCACACACCATAAAGCTGGACTAGCTTCGGGTGAGACAGTTTCCTATGAGATAGGGAGGAAAGGTGGAAAAGAAGCTGAAACAGAGTCAGTGCCTTCTATGCTTACAGTAAGTGTATTGTATTTGCCACCTATGTCACCCTGCTGCGACCTTCTTTCTGCAAAAGCTAACTACTAAGTAGAAAGAATAAAATGTGTAGACAAAGTCTAATGTCAAATAGCACTAAGTATCATCCTCTTTGATGGTAATGGTCAACAAAAGACTTTTCTGCATGGAAAATCATCCAATCAAACAAAACCAAAATCAATTTCCATCTGTTTTTGAAGGGAGGGAACAAAGTCAATAAACCCAAAGAGAAACACTTTCAGCTGTGCAAAGCAAAAAAACTCAGATCTGCAGCTAAGGTTTTCAGCTAAATTTCCCTCAAATTTTAAGAGATTTCTCCATCTAATTATTTTTTGAAAAAAGCCACTTTGTTCTCCAAAACACATCATCAATTTTTTTTTGCCTTCCAGAACAGCAGAAATCTGGAAGACCATTCTGGATATTCGTAGATTTAGAAGGACAGTAATTCACCTCACTTTGAATTGCCTTTCTTTGTAATCAGCAGAGCTCACTGGTCTCTACTGTGTATATGTATACTGTTTATTATGTACACTACATAATCCAAGTTTAATTTCCACATTCATATTCCTGAACATCATCACAACACTTTGGTTCAGTCTTATGAATTCTTCAGGGTCTGATTTTCGTGATGAATATACTACTTACATCAAGACTTTAGCTTCTTCAATGAAATCCTCTTCAGACATCGCTCCTTCACGAATGGTCTTGATGGCTACTTTTGTCCTCTCCATCAAGTAGCCAAGGTAGACCACGCCAAACTGACCACTGCCAATTTCCTGTACACGGGTGAGCTCAGAGGGGTTAATGATGAATTTTCCTGTTGGTTGTAAGGGACAAAGAGTAAGGATCTAGCAGTAAAATGTTAAACAAAAAGCTTTTATGAGTTAAACATTGAGAGAGGACTTGAAGTGAGACTTTCTGTCTCTCCCTCAAATTGTCTGTCTGACCTTTGGTAACTCATTTGACTAGTCTGTGCTGCAGGTCATGTTTAAGTACAGGAACAGAAACATCCCTCTTTTTCCCCCATTTGTCTTGTCAATCCAGTTCTTCAAGGAGAATTGTTTCTACCATGCATATGTGCACTACTGAGCATAACATGGTTTTAAATATCTTTTATGGTTCAAAGTTACAATAAAGATGATACCAGCAAACTTCTTGTAGACAGCAATGTGCCAAAGGAGGCATCTTTCAGGAGGGACTCAGACTTCATCAAGTTATGCTATGCTCCTACTTCCATCACTTTTGTTCAAGCATTCATTTCACTATTTAATGTTGATTCCATTGAGACCCTGGGGTTCTCATCACCTCCCTCAAGGCACTGCACAATCAGTTCATTCAGTTATCAATGGTAATAACAAAGATGATAATCTAGTGAATAGTGCAGCGTAAAGGTCTGAGGAAAGCTATTTATTGTGGTGATCATCACATGAATATTCATCAATATCCAAGGGGATATTCAGGACCACCCAGCTAACCAGTGAGGAGTGTGATTCCCATATAGTCATGACAGTACCATACCATAGCTCAGCCCTGCAGTGATTGGGGCCTTTTTCCTCCAAGAAGAGACTGCATACCGCAAGCGAGTGACAAGACCTGGATAAAAGAGGAAAAGGTGGATTCCAGTTGTTGTCACAGTCATGGGGAGTGTGGCTGTCACTACCCAGAAGGCAGCCTGGATACTGGGAGCAGATTTATTGTATTGAGTTCTCAGCTCCACTTGAGGGCAGCTAAACCTCTATTCAGACTGATTTCCTGCCTGCTAGAAGGAAGCCAATGCTGAGCAGTTTCAGCTAATTTCCCATTTTCACTCTGTCAGCAAACGTGAGCTGTAAGTTCCTATTAATTCCAATGAAATTCAAAATTATACCTTTTATTTTTAGGGTATTTTTGAACCCCAAGATTTCCCTTGGTACTCCTGGGGTATAGGGATGGGAGTCTTTGGTAACTCCCATGTCTGGCTACGGATCACGGCCATGCCCCTAAATTTGTGTCAAACCAAGGCCCAGGGATATATCACCTCCTGGGCAAGAAGGGTCTGCAGTTTAACTCAAACAGATAGCTTGCTCTGACAGTGGTGACACATCCCCATTGGCTCCCAGGAATGAAAGGGCTCTCTATAGTATGTCACTATAAAACATTTGTGTTGGTCATAATCAGCCTTAGAAGGATAACCAGAATGAAGATGTAATGCTGGAAGCTGGCCTGAGATGATCATTTTCCCACCATGAGTGCCAGGATAAGTGGAATAAAAGGTGATGCCATTTAAGATTTCATTGTAAGGACAGGGGGCTTGGGAGCCTTCCTTCAGTCAAAACAGTTACCTGGCTGAATGGTAAGACAGCAGCTTCCCTGCTCAGCATCAGCCTTTACTTACCTCCTGCATTGTGCTGGTGATAGTTGATGAGTTCAGGTATGCAGTCAAACACATGCTTTTCTGCCAAATAATATCGCTTGGGAAAGTCAGTTGTCTCATTGATGTGATAATGCTTTATAACGGGATTGTTATCCGTGCTGAAAAAGAGGAGGTTCTCTTTGAGGAAAACTAGGCTGCAGCAAAAAGACAGGAATCTGGGTATAAATGGAAGAGGAGCAAATGAGAAAAGGGTAGAACCTTCCTTACACACAATGAATGGGTGGGGAGCAAGGAGTGAGTTACCATTGCTAACAAAAGCTGTGTGCGTGCGTGTTCTCCCTCTCACTCACAGATGCTCTCATCTCTAGAGAGGCTGAGGTTTCCTGATAAGGCAGGTTGAGTACAGTTTCTCTACCTCTTCTTTCTGAAGCAAAACTTTCTGCCCCATCTCTGAAACCCTTTCACTAGTCTTGCATTACGCATCTCTGATGAGGCCAGGATATGCTCCCTGTTGATGCTACCAACACTTAATCTGGGTAGACAATGCCATTAAAATTACAACCCAGTGATGTTTAAGACACTATTTATAGGCATATATTTAGATGTAGGGAGAATTGGAGCCTTTAATACACTTTGCGAATGGCAGCTAACTTTTCTGCCTTTTTTGGAAGTGTTTTCCTCTATAATTTTCATGAGCCTTCTGCTCTCTCTTTATAATGCCAAAACAGAGATTACACTCTCACAGAAGCCATTTCATTGATGTAATTGATGCGAAAAGCTGCTGAGCTCAGCTGTACCTTAACGCTTTGGTGAAAACAGAGACTGTGTACATGCCAGGCTGCCTTGAATCTCTCACCATGAAAGCACCTTCCCTACCCTGCAACAGGAGCAAAGGAGAGAAAACTGGTTAGAGACATAATGGGAACAAAAGAGAAGTGGTCTGGGGACAAAGCTCTGCTCATTTCAGCCCTCCTTATTACTCTGTCATGAGGATGTGCTAAACATGTAGGAGAAGTGGGGCCATCAGCCAGCTGACAGAGCTTAGTCTGTTCCATGCACAGTTCTGCTGGCTGCCCATGCCTGCAGGTACACAAAGCTGGTCTCTCTCGGGTGCTCTGTATTTTTAGCTCAGCTTCCTGAGGAAATGAGACGTGTGCACTTGTGCTGTGTCCATGTGGGTGTACACGAGCGTGCGCCTCTGTCCCCCCAAGCCTCTCTAGAAATTTTGAACCCATTGGCTCCTTTCAATCTGACAGAACACTGGTGATAACAATTTCACACAAATCCAATGTGATGAGCAGCTAAGTGGAAAGACAAGCCTCTTTGAGTGCTTTCCATTGAGAGAACAGCCACAGAAAAAAAAGAGTACGATTTATGCAACACCAGAAAATCCATATGGGAATGTATGAAGGATAATTTGCCAATGTACCACAAATGGGAAAATCTTGGACAAGATCCTGCCTTTCATAGGTCCCCCAGTCATCCTGTGTCTAAACAGAACTGTGTAGGAAAGCAGGGTTCCTCCACTCTGGCACTCACAGAACAATTTTCCTTTTTAATTGTTTTCTACTTATCTGAATGGTAAAGTGTATCACAGGCCATGATCCAGAAGGGCCAGGCACTAATATATCAGATGGCAGAGGCAGAGGAGAAGATTTAACGTAACAGTTTGGATGCAATATGCTGTGCTGATCTACACATTCATAACAAAAACCACATTTTTCCTCTGTTTGCAGATAAAGATGCTTTTCATCTGGCATCCCAAGTGCCTGATTATTTTTTCCCCTCCTTTGCTCTACATGGTAGATTTCCTTCATTTTATGTGTTATCTATCCACCCACAACACCTGATGCAAACCTAATCCACCAATTGCACCCTGCCTTGTCCTGTTTCCCACCTGATTCAGCTCCAGGTGAACACAAAGGCTGAGACTGCTACTGCATCCCCTGCGTATGAGCTGCTGACTTTCAGTGCTCAGCTCTGAGCAGATGGGATCAGCCCACTGAGCTATACACTTTCCAGGGTTATCTCTTTAATGCACGTCTGTGCAACATCTACCCATCTGACCAAATGGGATCAGCCCACTGAGCTGTTATCTCTCTAATGCACACATGTGCAACTTCTACCATACCTGCACTATTTAATATCTAGCATAGTGAAGCTCTAAAAAGCATCTTTATCATGCACAGTGAGGGCTTTAGGACTCATCTTCCTGGCAGTGTGGGGTTGCTTGCACAGAGAGGCAGGTTACGTTACTTGAGGCTCTTTTCTTGTCCTTCTGCCTCACTTGGCAGCAAATCTGGCCAAAGATCACTTGTGAGCTTGGCCATATTTCTGGGGGAAGCTGTGGGGGCTGCAAGGTTTTGAGCCAGAAGCCTCTGCAGCCACATGGGGGTAGCTGCCACAGAGAAGTTGTGCTGGTAGGATCAGAAGGAAAAATAAGGTCACTAAACCATGCGTGGACAGATCCTGTAGGAGTTATAAGAACTAAAACAATATATAAAGCTAAACAAAAATGCTTTTATTTGCATAAAATGCTGTCATTGCAAGAAACAACACTTTATTTGGGTGTCGTGTTAGTGTAAGAGGTGGTTTTAAAACTAAGGGTATGTTTGTGTGGAAAATTTGAACAAGAAGCTTATTCTTTCTATTTTCACTACAGTCTTCACTGGAAAACTGTCTCAGCTGAGAAATGAAAGATGCTCACATGCGCACACACACACAGAGAACTAAAAAAGCCCAAACCCATACTTCTGGCTTTCACCCAAAACACTTCAGCACGAGATTGGTTATATTTCAGAGAACCACTGCATCCACAGGCCTCCTGCAGAGGCAGAAAAGATGAGCTAAAATCACAGTTTTCAGTCGATGCAGTGTTCCGAAAGAGTGTTTTCCACCAGCCCCAGTTATTTAACCAAAGAATGATGGCATGGCTCTCTGCCCACACTCAGCTACCATGGAGGTAAGGGGGAGGCTGCTACTGATCCTTTATCTTGCATCGCACACTAAGAACAGCCAAGGACAACACCACAGCAGGAACCCAGGGTCCAGCTCTCTCTTACACAAAGCAACCCTTGCAGGCTTCTCCTCATTTGTCATTAATTAATTATTATTGCCCATCCACCCCGTGTGCAGCACTGGTTTACCTCATCCTTGAGGAGTGTTTCTGCTTTGCTTCTGCTGATGTTCTTATTGTACCATCTGAAAACATCAAAAGGCTCCGAGTCAGCGTTTCAAGGCTAGTAAAGTTTCTGATGAAAGGCATCTGAATTCAATGTCCCCAGCATGAGCGGTGACACATTATGTGGGGTAGCAATGTCTGAGGCTTGTAGAACAAATGCAGGGCACTTGGAGACACGAGACAAACACAGGCACAACTTACTCATATATTTGCAGATTCTCAGGTGATTTTTCCACCAGGTAGCTACTTGGCACGTAGCCTTCATGCCTGTTGGAATACGACATGGCGTGAGCGTGCCAGACAGACAGGATTTCCTCTGCATCTGTAGGAGTCAGCCCTGACAGATTTGCCTGCTCTTTGCATGATTGTTATGTATTTAGTAAGGTTACTGGAGAAGGAAACAACTGATTGGACCCCTAAACTTGCAAACTTTCACATTTATCACTATTTTCCTCCCACATTTATGACAGCAAATATCAGCCTGAGCTGAGGGCTGTTTATTTTAATTAACATTCAGATCCTTTTCTTAAGCTGTCTGAATTCAAGCAACATCAAAGGGAAAAAAGTTACTATAAATAACCTTCCATCACTTTTCCCCTGTATAACAGAGGATAACTTTCACAAAAGTTATACAAGAGGCCAGCTTATGTGTTAATGGGAGAACAAACTGGATTTAGAATAGATTTGTAAATTGGCTGTTGAAAAGGGACTTACCCATTCTTATCTTGAATCAGCCACCAATGTTCCTCAGAGCTGTCAATCACATAATATTCCTCATTACATTGTAATGTCAACTCCTGTGGATTCTGGGCTTCATAGTCATATATGGCCATGACTAAGGCTTCCTTTGGGTCTAGCACCGATTTCTGCACAAATTAGGCAAAAGGCTCATCATATTCATAGTCATAAAAAACAATGGTGTGTTCTCTAAAATGATATATCCCTGGCAGCATTGGTTTTCTCTGGGCTCAAAAGCCTTAAAGCTGGGAAAGCACCCCAGGCTCTCTCATGGGGTATGGTGCCAAGATGAGAATTTTTAGCACATTTAAACAATAACATAGAAATTTCACTAGCACAGAAAATAGGTATCTACTTCTTAAGGCAGGATTACCTCTGTCTGATCTGTTATTCAGAGATTCCTCTTAAAACCCTTTGGTGATAAAATCTCCATGGCCTCCCTAGAGGGGGACTGTCCCATGCTCTCCTGCCCTCCAACTCTTTTCTCATACCCTGCTTCTCCCTCTTCTCCCTTCTTACTAAATAAGCTGATGACGTTTTGTCCCATTGACAAGAAAATCACTTCTCTATTCCCCTTCACAGCAGCTTTTCTCATATCCCTCCTACTTCCCCAATTTCCCTGTCTATAGATTGAAAACAAAAAACAAAGCTTCAATCACCATTGGAAAGTTATCTGTGAAACCAGGCTGACTTTGTAGGAATGAACCTCTGTCTCATGGAAAAATATGGAAAAGGCAAGAGAAAACCCCAGGGAATGTTATCACAGGTGATATTCCAGGTTACCGCACTGCAGTGAACCTTAATGAGGGTATATTGACCACTGCTAGTTAAACACAGAGGACAGGACACCAAGAACAGCTTCATGTGCTGCACTGCACTCACCCAGTTATCTTCAGGAGTGGGAGGAAGAGGCTTCTTTGAGGCTGGAAAGTAATTAAGAAAGTTAATTTGAAGTAAATCTGGACAAAACCAGGGGAGAAAGTGTCGAGGTAATGAATTGATAAAGGTGATACAAACCCAGTGAATAGAGAGCCTTGGCCTTTTAGAGTCTGCACCCACACAGCGACTCAGCCACACAGCATGGGTTTGAAACTGGGGCACAGGTTACTTAAGGAATCCCCCAGGTACAGGGTTACAGTGTCTTGGGTTGAGAATGATTGACTGCTTATATGTTTTTTCAGGAGACAAAGTAAAGATTGCACTTAGCCATTGAAACCACAGAGGAAGTGTGGTTAGGACAAAATAGGACGCACAGGGTTGAATGTGTGTATATCAAGAAAGCTCTTATTATGGGTTTTTGATGGATCATAGCTGATCAAATTCTTAGTTCTCTATCTGATTCCAAAGAGACCCCCAAGCACCACACAGAGGAAAATATTAATTCAAAACAAAGAATCCCATATACAGTTAAACATAAGCCATAATACACCAAGAAGCCAGAAACATGCCTCCTGATGGAAATGTAACATGATATTCTTTGATGTTCTGTACAAGACAGATTCAACCCTTTACTTTTGCTAGGAATAAATATTTTCAAAGTAGGGATGGTCTTAACAAATCCCATACCATTTTTGGTAGGATCATACTCCACACAGCCAACTGCCATCTTCTCAGTCTGAGCACAGCATATCCACTTGCCGTCTATCCAAAAATCTGGATGACACTTTGAAACCAGACTGTTGTTGTTTATGATTTCTGGAAAATATTGGGGGAAGAAAAAAGAAGAAATAAAAAGAGGGGAAAAATTAATTTAATTGCATTCACATCAGCTCTGAAATACATCTAGAACTAAATGGAAATAATCTGCACTCAAAAGAAGCTTCTTCTTGTCAAACCAAGCTTTTAGTTATTATTACGTATCAGCATCTTCCATTGATGTTTTTCTTTTTACCAGAAAGATTCAATTTCACCATTGATGTGGAGGAATAGCCTTCCTACTGCTGATGGAGCCTATACCTCTCTACTGCGGGAGATCAGAATCCTATCAAAGTGTCTCTCTCTTTAAACTGGTAAACACCAAAACATAAAAGGAAATAAAACCTGGAAGTCCATATACTGATGATTCCCATGAGAGACTACATCTTTATAGCAGCTGTGGTTGTATGGCACAGGCACTTGCTGCTTTGGCCTGGTGTCAGGAGGTCAAGCAGCTGAATAAGCTGGCATTTACCAGCACTAACCATTTTTGAACATGTAAATACTAGTCTTGAATATCTGTATGAGTGATTAGAGGTCCTTCCTGAAGCTCAGGCTCCCCATCTGTAATAATAACTTTCCTAAAAAGAACAAAACATTTCTGCTGACCTGTCTCAAGAGACTATTGAAATTGTTCAAGGGAATGGACAGTCTCTGAATGTTGAAGATGTGACAGAGTAGGAGCTTGGAGGGAGCACTGTCCAGAAGGGGAATAAACAGTTGCAAGAATAAGTGCATGAACTTAATAATATCCCCATGAGACACAATGTTTTCAGAGTGAACAATCCAGCAGCTTGTGTTACAAAGCAGGAAAAAGCTGTGACAGAAGCTTGGTGCAGTTTTCATGTAACCAAGTAACACTTCCCTTATGCCAAGTATTAGGCTTCATTTCTGCCTGCAGTGGTTAGTTGTGGTAACTTCAGTTCAGCACCATTACAGCAGAGCACAGCACAATTCAGGAGGTGAACAGGAAATGAAAGCTACATGCAAAAATGTTACTTAATAATCATGATTCTCTTAGAAGGTTGTCATCTAAACAAAAAATCTATTAGTAAGAGCTGAAAAATCTGCTATGCAGAAAAGATTAATTTCTAAAAACAAAATAGACGCAGAAAAGCCCTCATCTCTTCCTGAATAAGAAACCTCAAATTACAGTAACATATTAACAGTTTATCCTTGAAAGAAGCAAATAAAGCATTCCATGGCCAAATTTTCTACTGCTGCTGCAAACACATAAGCAATTTGATGTTATAACCTCATTCCCCAGTATCACTTTGCATGCTTAAATCTAAGACATTGACCCTTCTTGCATATTCTCTCTGCATTATAGTCTGGAAAAAAACTGGTCTGGGATAAGTAACTTAACATTAGGTGGCACAGGGGTTTTATTACCTTCTTTCAGTGTAAAGACCCATCTCTGCCGGCTCTCACGATTGGGTGCAAACACGTAGAGTATGTAGTTATCGTGGACAATCTGGAGAGGGGAGTGAAGAATAGAGCAAGCCATTAGAAGCAATCCCACATATGCTGGGCATGATGGAGCCACTGAAAGCAACAGGGAGGAGCCGTCATACCAACAAGTTAAACACAAAATGATGATATGAGAAAGTGGAGTAACAGAGTTTGCGCAAAAGCATCTCTTAACCTCATTGACTTTATTATTTAATATGGAGTAGAAATTATGATCAAGAAAGAATTCTAGACAAGCAGTGATTACATCATTTCTATGCTGTTAAGAAATGCTTGTGAAATCAGTGGAAATGTAGCAATTTCAATCTGCAGAGGGTTTAGCATGTTACTTGCTGGCTACGTTTATCCTTCTAAAGCATCTCTGGGGAAATGGCTTCTGTTTCTTAGTGGTTTCTTGTTAAGATACCTTCATTTAGGATCTAAAAGCCGAATTTAGCCTTTTTTTGTATAAATATAGATCTCATGCAACTCCCTGGAGATACTTGGATTACTGTTATTCTCCAAAGTTTTTAATAGCTTTCAGTAGGATTATAGAGGGGAAATAAGAAGCTGGAGCAGATGAACAATGAGCAATCAAGATGCTGTTTTCATTAACTTGGCCTTAACGACAAATAAATGAAGGAAGAGAAACACAGAATGTTTCTGAAATTTCAGGCCAGGGAGTAAAATCATCACAAGAACTGAGATGACTCATAAACCGAATTGGATGACTAAAATTTGATTTAATGCATGATCTATAGTTCTCTTCCAATATTTATCTCAACAGTTGAATCCCAAATGGGACCTGATCTCTTTGATGCACAGATGTTTTGACCACTGTCTTTGAACAGAGGTTTCTGAAAGAGAGCAGCTGGTTTTTAAAGTTTTTCCAGGGGTATAGATGAGGCAAAGGTGATTATTGTTTAAAGAACAGGAAACATTTGCTGTCTCTTGGCCTGGTGCCCTTGCAGGCACACACAGACAGCTGCGTGACCCAGTTTTCATGCTGCATAGAAATAGATTACAACCTCTTTTACAAAAAACAGAAATAGGGGAGGAATAATTCCCACTTGTTTAAAGCCACTCCTGTTGATATCATGATGTCTTGACAATGTTAAGGCAGAGTTTGGAATACGCAGTAATCAGTTCCCCAAAAGATGTAGCCATAAGCATGCACAACTGCACAGAATCACTCATTTCATGCCTCTCTGCAAGGGGCTCACTTGCCAGATGAGCCAAACAAACCTAAAAAGGCACTGGTGGTTCCACAGAAGATATACAGATGCCTGCAGCTGAGACATGTTTTTTTAAACTCAGACACTATAATTTTACAAAATACCACAAAACTGACTGTGGGACAAAATTTAGATGTGCTACAAGCAGGAGCAATTACCGCAGCCTCAGTGGAGCACTGTCCATCATGACTGGTCCACTGTTACCTGGCCACCAGTACTGGTCTCTTTGTTCTTGTCTTGGAGCAGCCTCCCTAGCGCATCACATTCACCAGTTTCTGATGCAAAGGCCACTGAATGCATTTAGTTTCAGCACCACACATGTAAATCAGCCAAAACCCTGGGAGGATTCCGTGTGTGAGACATGGTGTTTCTCCGAACATGAGTCAGTGGCATAGCTGAATACTGTGTTAAACATGAATAGGATTAGAAGATCTAATGATCCTTTCCAGTTTAAAACCAATTAGTGTAAGAGTTTATAGGCCCTGTTATAAAATGTACTCTGTGATTCCCCAGGTCACTTCAAACCTTGATCTGCTTTTTCTTCTTGTGTTGTTATTCACCCTGGCGTTGGGCTCATTAAGAATTGCACTGTGAGGGAGAATTTTACTGAAATACTAAATGAGGTTGTATCTCTCTATCAGTACAGTCACCAGACAGACTCACCTGGAAAGGGTATTTATACTGACAGGGAATGATGATGTCACTTTTCACAATTTCCACACATTTAATCCTGGAAAGCTCCACAGAACCCTTCAAAGTCTTTTTCTTCTAAAAGACAGAGAAAAGCAGTTGGTTAATGATAATGGTTGTGGATAAAGTGAATGATAAGGCAAGACTGTCCTGTTCATGGGGGATTTAATTTTAATGGTGGAGTAGTAAATTAACTGATTATGTAAGGCATTTAAAAGTATGAAGAATCATTCTCATATATGACACCTCCACATGGACTGCACATACACCCAGATATATGAACATACACACACATATATGAACACACACACATTTCAACTCAGCACATGGGTTCTTACTGAACCAGTCAAAACCTTTGATTGAAATTCAAGGTGGTTTTTTTTTTCTTCCAACAAAATGAAATGCCCTTTTAACCAAAAGAACTTGTTTTAATGAAACGTTCAGTTTACCAACACTCCTGTTTCATCCTGAAAAGCTACAAAACAATGAATATTTTATTAAAAAAAATAGTTGGGTACTGAGAATTTCAAACCTTTGCATTTTAGCTCAAATGTAGCGTTTTTACTGCGTCTGTGTTCCAAGAAACAAAACACCTCTCTGGTTTTGTTCTGTCAGGGGTCCTAGCTAAGCAAAAATAATAGGAAATTTTGAAGTAAATAATAGCCTCAAATATTTGCCAACAAAACTATTTTTCTGGCAGCCTCTGTTGCATTATTATTCATCATATACAAGATGCTGAAACAATGCTATGGGCAGTTAGAAAAGGATAAGAAAAGAACAGACATCCAAGTATCCCAACTACCTCAGTGTACCCTATTTCCTACTGAGTCCTTACCCCGTAGCTCCTTGGTGTATGACACTCAGCTTTTGCAAGAGAGGGGTGAGGTGGATGCTGCAAATGGCAGGCGGGAGCTGAGCTGAAGCTTGGTGTCTGATGCACGCTTCTGAAGGATTCACTACAAAAATGTTTGCTCTTTAGAGGCAAACTGGTTTCCTGTTTTGCTTTGTTTTCAGTAGGGATTAAACACTCGCTGTCTCCCAGCTCAGCTTTGTGACTGTGATGGAAATCGGTGAGATTTATGAACCCCCAAATGCTGCAAAAGCTTCTGGTTTTGCAGGAGCATGAGCTTCATGTTCAGAGCATGAAATTCAATGACTGAATTGTACCTGTCACAGGTTATCACTCAGAGACACAGCAAGACTTCGGCAACCTTCTCTCTCTCCCTCAGACCTACAATGCAACCTTCTGTGTCCTTCACCCTCCAGCTCCCTCTTGCCCCTTCTTCCCTATGTGACCCTGCAGCTCTGTCCTGCTGGCAGCAAGTGTCCCCACTGCTGTGCTGACCCTCACTGCTGCTCGTTGCTACCTATCATCATTAAATCTAGCCTAAAGCAGTGAAGAACCTGATGCCACTGGAGATGGGGTGAGGTTTGCCATAGTATACTGTCAACAGCCTCAAACCAGAGAGGACGTAAAGCTCCTCAAACCTCATTGTTGCACAACTGGCTGGGTATTTTGCCTTTGTATAATTGGACTTGAGGAAAGAGGGGAAATTATTGCAGTGTGGTCTCACATTGCTCTTGCTGGATTTTGCTGGTGTATTTGGTTTTTTTATTTGTGTTTGCTTACATTTTAACCAGTGCCTCTGGATTCACTGCCAGGACTGCCTCCTGTAGACAACATCTTCATATGTAGGTCTATGGGGTGAATTGGGATCTTTTTGTATCTATCAACCCAAGGCTGTAAAGCACCCCTAAATGTAAATACCAATTAAATGTCAAGAGTACTGCCAAGCCCTAGAAGGCCTTACTGAACTCCATTTTCACCATCTATTTTCTTTTATTCTCATCTATTCCTGTCTTTGTTGCACAGAGGAAGCCAGACTTGGCTTACTCTGTCTCTTTGCCACAGCCTCCTCTATCATTTGTTCTGCCCCTGGGACTTCTACCCTTTTGATGAGACCCAAAACCATTTATTTCCTATAACAGCCTTCAATTTTGGTAGCATTGAACCATCCTTCATCTTATTCCTTTGAAGCCCCAGGGCTTAACCACATACAGTCGTCCTGTGAGGCTTTAGGAAGCCAGTCACACACTCTGTTCTTTCACTGCAGATTGTTGATATCTTTCCAGACTCTGCTGAAAGATAGGGTCCAGCCTTCTCAAGGAGCATTATGCGGTCATCCTGCAGCTCTCATCACCTACTGTGCTCCTTTTAATCACATAAGTCAGAAATGAAAGCTCCTCATATCCTCATAATCTCACGTTGCAGTGCAATGTCAGGGTACATCTCCCAGCCAGTGCATTTCCCAGTAGATCCTCAGCCGATGGGACTTTGTTGATAAAAAGCAATTACAGCCCTGTAGCAGCACAAACAACTGGAAATACCACTCGCAAACCAGGCACTGCCCAGAAACTGGTCTGGAAACTAAACATATCCCTGCTTTTGTGATGCTTGACTGCACTTTAATCCAACAAAAGCAACTGGGCCATTTGGAAGGGAGTGGAGAGGAAAAGCCTCTTAAAAATGGTCTCCAAAAAACCTCAGAGACTTGTTCCTAAAGGGGAGAGAGAGAACATGCTGACTAATCTCTGTTTGTTGTTTTCAGTCTGACTGGAGTATAATTACATAGATGTTTTAGCTGGTTGGTCAGAAAAAGCATCAGTGGTCTTACTGTGTAATGTGTGTGTAAAGATAAGCAAGGCATGCTGCTGTCAGTGTGCTGTGGATCAGTCCATCCTGGTTTATTTCGTTTGGTGTGTTATTTGCAACGTGGCAATTCTGGGAAGGTGCGCTGACACCTGTGAACAGAACCAGGTTCATCACAAGCCCAACACATTACTGTCTTCATCTTTGCTATTTCACCTCCTCTTGCCAAACAGCTCCAGCAGCTCTTTCACTGATTAATCCTTTAGTTTGTGTCTACTGCATAAACTAGATAATCCCAATGGTCCCTACTGGCCTTAGATACTTGGACAATTGACCATGGGGAAACTGACAGTCCTAACCTGTGATTCTGAAGGCATCTCATGGTGCTTGCTCAGGGAATAAGCTGCCTGGCATCTATCACATGCAGGGGTGTGGAGCCCATGTGAAAGGTCAGAGAACTGTCAGCAGCTGCTGCAGGTGGCAGATCTGAGCTGTGAGAACACTTTCTGACCATGGCTCTGCACCCTCAGGCTTTGTGAATGTCTAAGATCTTGTAAGATATGGGCTCTGCAGTCTGAGGAATTTGCTACTTTCTGGCTAACACTTTGCTGTTGCTATTTGTGAAGCCCATTCACCAAATGCTCTGCACCAAGCACTTCGGATGAAGGTCTTTCTGTGGGCGCTTACAGGTTTTGCTGAGCCCCGCTTATTTACCAAAGAGCCTGGGCAAGAAAAGTAGGCACCAGTGCTGGAATCGGAGGCAAGGGAGGGAAGCCAAATGCCAGAGACAGATAAGGCTGGGGTGGGCAGAGCCTTATCTCAAAGAGCACAGGAAGAGAGAGCAGGCAGCATTTTCTGGCACAGAAAGGCAGCATGCATGTTTCATAAAGCCCCTTTGGTTCAATAGTTGTATTAAGAACTTGTTTCTTTTGTGCTGGTGAGGGGAAAACCAAGCAATTAAGTGTCATATGGCCCCTTGTCACTACCAGGGGCTCTCTACACTGCACCTAGGCTTTCCTTGCCCTGCATCACTGGGTGTTTGTGTTCACATCTCCTTCTCTTCATACTTCATCCCCATTGCCTGTGTGGCTCTTCCTTTGCAATGCTGGCTGAAGCAGGAGGTCAGGGGAAAGCTAATTTAGAGCTGTGGAGGAGCAAGGTAGGAAATTCCAGTCCTCTGTAAACTCAACCGCTAAAATGCTTCCATCAGTCAGAGCGTTTAATGACCTTCTCTGTAGTGTCAGGGTATTTTTGAGCTAAACTTCATTCCCTGCTTTCACTTACTGTCTTGACTAGAAGGAACCATACTTAATCAGTGATTAAGTGGTTGTAGGTCTTTACCTTGGCACTAGGCATGACCTGCTTTTTCTGTGTCACCTGTGCTCCAGCTGCGCTCACTGCACCCCAGCACAGGGCCAGAGCCTGATTTGGGGGTCTCTGTGGGCCTGAGGAGGTGAAACCAAAGCAGGGGTTTTTTATCACTATATACAGTTCCTCAGGAGCAAACAGGAAAAAACAAAAGCAAAAACGCAAAAGCCTTGAAGTTTGCATTCCCCTAGAATAAAGTGTAAAACAAGGCTCATTGTGGCAAACAATATGAACTTACTCCTATCACAGCTCCAATAATAAAATTTGAATTATTAAAAAATCCATTTTGCACTTACAGAGGTGTACTAAAGGATTCATTTAATATTATGCATAGGTTTGTACCTTGTCCACATCTTATTTAAGGTTGTGTTGATTTTAGTACATAAAAATTCATTGAAACAAGTGTGATGTTGACAGATGCCAAAACCTGACTTCTTTGTGTACTGTATGTGATTAATGTGTATCTATTAATAATACACATGTATGCAATATGTGTGTTATTAATAAATTAGTTGGAGATGTGCATCAGAAGACAGATGATATTGCAAATTCTGGCAAGCAAGCAGAACTTGTTAATAAATACATGACAAGTTATGAAGAACAATGTATCTACTCACATGTGTATTTATTTGGAAGGTAGTCTTTAAAACTGTAATTAAATCAATTTTGTAGGAGGATTAGAGCTTCATGACTGTAAGATATGCAGAATACACAAAGCAATGAGGATTGGTATGATTTGTCACTCTAATTTAGAGGAACGTCAAAATAGAGGTCTGTGGAAGAAAAGTCTTAGTCTGTTTATGTTAGAGTCTTGGGGGGGAAAAAGTCTTTCCAGGGCAGGATGGACAAGTTGGATTCTATGTAGAATAATGGAGGTAAAATGGACTGCTGGACTGGAACAAAGTGCTGCTTTTGTTACTGGTGGTAGCTGGACTGTTGCAAGTTACCCAACATGTAGATAACTCAGCAGAAGCAGCTGAAGCATTTTTCTGGTGCTGATAGAAGGCTTTTCAGCCAAATTTATTCTTTTGTTCTCCTGGTACAAGAAACTGAAAGCAAATTTCAAGGAACACTAAAGTGCCATCTTTATATCTGAATATCAGAGATCTGAATGAAAGAGCCCAGGACAAGGCTGACTCATGCTATTTGACCTCCTGAGCATCTGACCAGTGTAGGAAGAATAGGGCTGATGTAAATGAAAAGAGAACTCAGTCCTTTTCTGTGTGTCCTTTTCATTGCTGCCTCTGAAAGCTGGGCTCGGTTTAGCCCATGAGTGCATGAAGATATAAATTTAAAGTATTTATGTGCCTGAACTTCCCAGGTGTTGGGTGCAACCTTTGCAGCCCTGAAATAATTCTCAAAATGCCTGTATAGGGCAAGATGATTATTTTTGAAGAAGCAAAGTCAGTGTGGGAACATGGAGCACTTCTCTACAGCTGATACAGACAGACCCAAGCACTCTTTGCAGGTCTGAGCCATGCCAAGATAGCAGCTCTGATGCAGGGATCATGTAATGGTCAGGGTACCATGTTAGTGTGGTGCTAGCCCAGAAGACAGCAGTCCATTCACTAGGTGTGCCGTAAGCCTCAGACATCTGTGTGCCTTTTAGACTACAGCCAGCCTGAAATACAGGGAGAGATGCTCATTTCTGGCTGTCCACATCCGGCAGGAATGTGACATGCTGAAGACTATGCAAGAACCTCTGCTTAGTGTATGAAATACTAAAACTACCTCTCTTTACTATTCTGTCTGCTAACCCTTCCTAAGGATCATAAAGATTTACTTAGCATCATAAGCCATTAAGCAAATGGGATATAGGTAACTCACCAGTTTAAGTGGTTTACTATGTAAGGACATTTGAAACTCTGTCCTAGATAGCCCTCCAGAGGGATTAATTTGTCTGCTTCTTCTGCAGTTCTGCAACAGTACTGGGATCCTGAGAGTATCACATAATGTTGGCATTATCTGTTAGCCTTGTAAGGATCAAACTCATTGAAATAGTTAAGTGATTATTCCCATAAGCTCATTTACTCACATGTACAGTAGCTATAAAATCAGACCCTAGAAATGAAGAATTTTTGCTCATGGAATTGGTTTGCATGTTCTAATAAAGGCCCTTCTGATGTGTTTTAGTAGAGACGGGGGCTGAATACATGTGCCTGTTATCAGGGCTTTGCTTTATGTTAAGACAGCCCTGCATTGTGCACTGCGTAATGAATTCCAGAAAACACAGCTTCTTATTGTTGTCAGTTATTAGGGGCTCATTCTCCTAATGAGATATGTAAATATCTTTCATTAACATTAATGGCAATGGTGTGCTTGGCCCCTGAGGAGAACAGTGCTTTCTGTCTAGCTATGGCCATTACAACAAAAATGCCATTCCAGTTATTGCAAAGATTTGCTTCTCTGATGTCACTTGTCTTGACATCTTCTGGTATCATTTACAGAGTTATCCCTGTACCCTTCTGACCTGTTTAATTTCTTGTTTTGGACTGCTGCAATAGACTCTTAAACATCTTTTTTTATACCTACAGTGTCAAAATGCAGAGAGAGGGACTGGGTGCTAAACGCTTTTAAATACAGCAAAACGTGTAATCCTGGGCTTAACAAATAAGTGTATGCTTTACTTTAAGCCACCCAATTGAAATCAGTGGGACTTGTCTAACTGTTAAGCAGTTCATTATTGTTTTACCTGACTCTATGCACAGACTGTTATTACTGACTGATCAGGGACCAGAGAGGTAGGTACTGTACAGTACTGAACTCTGAGTACAGTAAGATACCAGACAGGCTGGAAAGGGGATCTTAAAGAAAACTCTTCTAGCAAACATTGACAGAGATTCCCCTTAAAAATTACATACTTTCAAAGCTCAGACAGTTGCTGGTCCCATTTCTATGGAGCAGTGCACATGCCTGAGGATACTCCCCATCACTGCAGCCAGCTGGCAGAGAACAGCAATGTCACTATTGCTCTGCCCTAAATCTTCAGAGCAGGACCACATGCAAACTGCTTGCTGGCAATGGTGACAGCCCATACTAGCCCCTGCTGGCCCCACAAATTTCTGGAGAGTCCCCATGGAGCAGAGCCAAACCAGTGCCAGAGAATGAGCACTACAGATCATTGATTTCAGTGCCTGTGCACGCTCCCCAGTCAATGGGATGGGAATAGCCCATGTGTCAGGCATGTACTGTAAGTTTCCCTTCACTAGCTGTGAGCTCAATTGCTGTGGGTTCATTCTGTTCTCAGCACAAAACAAGATGGTACTTGCATGGGTTGCCCTAAGCTTCCCTCTCCACAACACCGATGACTTGACCACAAGGAGTTCTCACCAGGATGGTCTAATTTTGGGGAAGATTATGGAACAGGTTGAGGATCAGTTCTGGGAGTATTTCACAGGACAAACTGTTTTCTCTCAGTTTCATACAAAGCTCTTCTATTCATGTAACAACCCGATTTTGATAGTTTGTGTCAGAAAAATAATTAGCTTTTCAAGCAAAATCATCCCTGTAATTACAGATATAGTAACAGTTCTTCAAATGTGTATATGGACCTAAAGTAGCACCTGTGTTTACATATACATGTCTACACATACGTAATATATACATGTTTAAAATACACGATATATAACATAAAGTAGGTAAGATACCAAACCCTCATCTCACCTAATTGACCTATTAATTGGAAGATTAGGGGGGGAAATTTCCAGAGCCACTCACATAGCCTATGAAATCTATGCCCCACTGAAAGTCACCAAGTCACATTTTCCAAGCTATTTCAGTGTCTCAAGATGCTGACAGACACCTACTGTGACTCTGCAAACGTGTCTATGCAAAGTCTATGTTGAGTTCATCTCAAGTCCACCAAGACTCAGAAAGAGACAAGGAAAATTAGTTGTGAAGACTTCTCTAAACACCTACAGCAGAATCAGTTAGATGCTTTTGAAAATTTAACCCAGAATAAGTGAAATAGTTACAATGGAATTTAAAATCTTTAATGGCATTTGAAAGATAATTTGGAGAGCAGACAAAGAGAGTCTCAAATCAAATATACAGTGTGCAGCAATAAATATTATCCTATTTAAATACAGAGTTAAGAAAAACACAGTCTATAAAATAAAAGCAAGAAAAACAATTTGTTGGGCATATTTGAGAGAAATAACCTGCAAGTAAAAATATCTATTAAACATTAAAGTTGTTATCCAATCTCAACTAGGCTATGACAAAATACAAAGGCACATAGCTATACACTGTGCTATGAAGATCACTTTTCTCATTGGGTTTGGTTTTAATTTCATTTTATGTGCTGTATAGCAAGGCAGCAGGATCCCCAGTTCTGCTCTTCATACAGTAACAGTGCCTAAGCATAATGATTAACAGCATGTTCAGCAACTGCTGGAAAACAAGCAATATTATTTACAACCATAAAGAGGCTCAGCAAACATCCAGCTAAATAGAAGAAGGAAATAATTCTCATTTCACTAGAACACTTAGCACAATGGGGTGCTCAGACTGACTTCTAATTCTCTTCATATTTAGTAAACCAGGAAAATGCAAGCTTAGGGAAACAAAGCCTAGTCTAACCATGGGTCTCGTCATTGCATCCCTTCTGAAGCTAACTCTGAAGACAAACCATGTTACACATGGCAGCTGGATTTCTGTTAAAAAGCAAGACTGTCTCCTACCAGCCATCAATCAGTCTGCTGCCCTGAAGGAAAGAATGAGAGTGAAGATCTGTGGATGACTTTTTTAGCAGATGTAATTAGGGTACATTTGTCATCTTTGCAATACGCCACTCCAGGTCACTGCTGTACCCATGTGAGCTGCCAGGCACAAGCTCACACAGCTATTACACGCTTCAGTTACAACAGCCCGTGCTAAATTCCTGCAACAAAACTAGATCCCTGCTATAAAACAGTGAAGTAGTCTTATTCCTCTGTGCACACCAGATGCCCACTGATCACCTCTTTGACCATTTTGCAATTTTCAGTGAATGCTGCTGTAGTAAGGACCAGAAAAGTTAATAAAATTTAACAAAGATTATGCTTCCCTCCATTAGCATCCTTCCCTTCCTTTAACAAATTTCATCCTTCCCTTCATTATTCTGTTATAAAAGAGAAAATGGCTGACGTACCCCATGGCGATGTTCGTAGTAAGCCAGCTTGGATTTGGTTAAGACAAAGAAGCGCACTTTAAAGTTGGAAGGTGAAGTCCTCCTCTTTTGCTGGGATTTTTTGATCAGCAGTTCCTCTAAGAGCACACAGTTATTCATGGCTGAGCCAAGAATGGTTGTCTCTCAGGACATGGGGTGCTGGTCCTATGTGCTAAGTGCCTGTCCAAGAAAGAGACACAAAAAGGAAGACAGTTAAGTAAAAAAAAAAAGGTATTCAAAAGGCAGCGTAGGTGCTTTGAGCTTTATCTTCCCATCTACAGCAAAGCTTCCTTTCTGTCAACCCATAACCACATCCTCTGAAGTCATAAAATGAACAGCACATGTTGAAATACACGCTAAGGTAAATGTTGTGGAAAAAATAACACTTGAGGGACATTCAGTAGATTTGAGTCAATGATTAAGGATTAATTAAAAAGGTGTGACATGATGAAGCATCTGTCTTCTGCTCTCCCATACAGTTAGCAATGCACACACTGAACATGGATTTACAGGATGAGTGTCTCTATTGGCCTCCTAAAAGTAGGTCATGCATCCATATTGCTTTTTCAAAGGACTGGTGCCTTCCCATTTTGAGTATTTAACAGTTGACTGTGTGGCTCAGAGATTTCATACAACTCATTTTGAGGAAGTTTCCCACATACCATGAAAGTTCTTAGTATGTTAGCAAAGAAAATTATATCCAGGATATACTTGTATAAGGAACAATAAATAATTGTATTTGTTAGATATTTAAACTCAAAACAAATGGTTACAATAACTGATAACTAATCAGTTATCACTGGTTACTACTTATTGATTACTGACTGCTTTGCGTGCAGCCTAATTAGACTGTGGCTGGATGCTTCAGGAGGCACAGGAACAACGTGCCTCTGCAGATGCAATCAAGACCAGTGTAGAATCATAGAATAGTTAGGGTTGGAAAGGACCTTAAGACCATCAAGTTCCAACCCCCCTCCCATGGGCAGGGACACCTCGCTCTAAACCATATCACCCAAGGCCTTGTCCAACCTGGCCTTGAACACCGCCAGGGATGGAGCATTCACAGCCTCCTTGGGCAACCCATTCCAGTGCCTCACCACCCTAACAGGAAAGAATTTCCTCCTTATATCCAATCTAAACTTCCCCTGTTTCAGTTTGAACCCATTACCCCTTGTTCTATCACTAATGAAGAGTCCATCCCCAGCATCCCTATATGCCCCCTTCAGATACTGGAAGGCTGCTATGAGGTCTCCACGCAGCCTTCTCTTCTCCAGGCTGAACAGTCCCAACTTTCTCAGCCTATCTTCATACAGGAGGTGCTCCAGTCCTCTGATCATTCTCGTGGCCCTCCTCTGGACTTGTTGCAACAGATCCATGTCCTTTGTATGTTGAGGACACCAGAACTGCACACAGTACTCCAAGTGAGGTCTCACAAGAGCAGAATAAAGGGGCAGGATCACTTCCTTTGACCTGCTGGTCACACTCCTTTTGATGCAGCCCAGGATTCGGTTGGCTTTCTGGGCTGCAAGCGCACACTGCTGGCTCATGTTCATTTTCTCATCGACCAGCACCCCCAAGTCCTTCTCCACAGCGCTGCTCTGAATCTATTCTCTGCCCAGCCTGTAGCGTAACCAACAGTGAGGTGAGCACAAACACCAAACCAAGCTCAACTGGATTTCTCAGACTTCAGAGCACCATTCAGGGCAGTCCGCACCAGGCTAAATATAGAATATAAAAAAATAACATGTACTAATGGAGTCAGCACAACAGCACTGTTAAATTTTAAAACAAATGCCATTAATTTTCTCTGTTCTTTCATTTTTAGTATTTTGTGTATTTTTTTAAATTAGTGATGTATAATTGTATTGGTGATGCTATTGAGGTTTGGAGAGATGGAGTCTGGTGGAACGTGGGGAAAATGCAATAAGTAGTTTCATTAGTTTGGTATTTCTGAAAACTGTTCCAGTATAAATCATTCATCAGTGCTGACTTTTGGCTTTAATTTAACATAGCATTAGGGTAAAAGGAGATAGCTCCATATTGCTGTTGTGTTTTTAGAACTCTTTGCAAGCTCCAAAGAAGACACTATTAAATTTAGTTCACGAGGAAAACTAAATCTGAACAAATATCAGAATTGCAAGCTGTTTAAATGAAGACTCAGATTTTAAAAGGCAAATCATAGACAGGCTTGGGAACTATACTTCTCAATAGAATGTATTGGTTGCCCCTTTCCAAAAAAGGACTGGCATATCCTTTCCTTGTTGTTCTATGTTATATTGTTCAGGCAGTATGTTCAAACAGCATGTCCCATGGATCATCAAATATTCCTTACCAATTTTGTCCAATGCTAATTGAGAACCTGCATTTGCCATAAAAATACAATTTAAAGATAGCGCTTGACATACAGATCTGTAAGAGAATTTGCTAAAGGTGATGTTGTATAATGGAACCGAAATAAGGACAAACAAGTTGTTGGGCAGTTGATCCCTATATATGTATCTCTATCTCTATATGGTGGTCTTGCTGAAGACGAGACGCTGCATTCTCTGAAACATTTGTCATGCACAAGTCTAACAAAGCTGTTTCATTTCTTGGCAGTGACTGAGTTCCAAGGAACTCTTGTGGTTGAACAAGAAAGATGACACAAGTCTGTGATCTCCTGAAAAATAGTCACTGCTGTCAAGGGGGATTTCATATCAATGTGTAGACTAGGATCAATACTCAGGCCAAATTTCCCAATTCTACAGTTTGTCTTATGCATATATATGAAAAAAATCAGAGTCTGTGTAGACAGCAGCTATTCAGATATTTCCAGACCTTGTTTAAGTGCTTGCACCCCTACAATATAGGGCAACATTTATATAGACATCACTTTTCACACACTTGAGAATTTGCTGGTTTAAATTACGCTCAGAGATCCTTTCTTGTAATTAATAAGCCAAAACACAGACAATAAAGTGTGTGCCCTGACAAACTGTATGGATTTCACCTTGCTAGCAACAGTGAATCCCACCCAAAGGCTCTTGATCTTGATAGTATTTTGCTTGATTGTTGTGAGTACACATGAATCTATAACCAGTTTGTCTCATCATTGCATTTTTAGCTATGAACACTTACTTAGGACTATGTTACTCTTTCTAGTCTCTTCTTCACAAAAACTGTTAACATGTTAAGGGGGTTTGCAGCCTGGTGTCAGAGATGTACACATCTTCTCAGAAAATTGGATATAAATAGAAATGCAAGGGTGTGATATTGCAGCTCTGCAGAAAAAGCAAGGCATGCAGGACAGCAAAGAGATGAGAAGCCAACACATACACCTCTGAGGGGAGCAGGGCTGCTGGAGATGAGAGGATGTGGGGGGGAGAAGAGATTCAGCAGGGTGGTAAGTAGTGGGGGGAGTTAAGAAATTCTTTGAATGTACTGACTGACAGCTTGATTCCTTCATGTGATAAGCAATGACTTAGCAAAGGGACACGAAGAGGGGAGTGACTGGATCAAATGTTCAGATAGGGGGCTTGGCAACTGTCTTTATTTGGTGTAAACATGGTACAGATCTACGTGTTGTACGAGGTCTGACGGGACAAGCAAGCGAGAAAGAAGGAGCAAACAAGATTTGGCTCTGCACATGGGAGAACTGAACAGGCTGAGCTGCTGTGAACGTGAAGGTACAGGTTTGATAGAACACATGCAGAAAGACACACATAGTTGTAAGAAAATAATAAAAGATTTTGGCCCGGGGTGACAGAGAATCTGGTAGTTACACTAGACCTAGCAGGATTTAGCAAGCAAGATGAGCCATTCTGAGATTTCCATGGTGAGTTCAACCAGATGACGGGCCAGGTCAGGTATTAGACTGGGGAAACAATTAAGAATGACCATAAGGAAGGAAACAAACACAGCCAGATTTGGATGCCATTAATAGAAACATAGTTGATTTCAGCGAGAGCTGTTAACTCTTTCTGTTTTGCAGTATTCTTATCAACTGGTAACTCTCCATTGTTGAAGTGGGGAGGAAGGTAGGGACTGACTTATTTTTGTATACACTCTTGCCACAGATCTACCCCTTCATGTTCCTTTTTCACTTTAATCCCAAAGCCCATGTGCAGCAAACATACCAATATTTAAGTGTAGTAAGCCAAAACCAGAATAGCCTAATGAATATATGGCCAGGTTCACATGTATATACAAAAACATATAGCCTAAGAATTGTTTTTATATTTAGTTATACATTTATGAGACAGTAACTGCTTATGTGTATTTGAATTCTATTTAATTTCAAAGATCACAATTTCTTGCCCAATTTTAAAAGAAAATGTTGCTTTCATGACATGAACTTTTGACATAAATCATAGGTCATCATCAACCCGGGTGACTAACAGGTTATAACCCATTTAAACCAAGGGTTATATAAGCAAAAGCCTCAGTCATTTAAGGGCTTAAGGATCCTTCTACAGTAAAGCAGGAGATAATATATATATTAACTATATATCTATATAGTTAATATATGTATTAATGATATGTCTATATAGTTAATATAGTTAATATAATATATAGTTAATATAGTTAATCTAATATAGTGTTAATACACTATATAGTTAATATAGATATTATATATACTATATATAACTATATATAAATCTCTGTATTAGCTATATATCTATATAGTTAATAAATATATTAACTATATTTTATATACATAAAACTATATAGTTAGGTAGAAATACACCCCTTGTCTATGATCAAGTTGGCTGCAGAGCTGGAAGAGGTGAGAAGTCCATAGAACTCTACACACAAACAACATAGCCTTCCTGAGAGAGCTCCTTGGGTGAGCTGGGATATCCCTCTAACACAGGAATTTTCTTTCTGGAACCTGACCTTGTATGACAGTGCAGTGATGCACTGAACATATAATCAAACTTCTTTTGTTCAAGACTTTTGATCACTATGTATTGCATGCAATGCGAATTAAATGGAAAGGAATTCAATAAAACTGTCCTAAGTATCTTAAAGCCACTGTAAGTTTACCCCTTAAGATGAGGAGACAAAGCCTCATGAATTGTCTAGCTATCCTACATCTTCTCTGCTGAAGTGCTTTCATAAAGCCTGCTAGCATGTGTCCTTTGATGCTTTTCCATCCATATGCAGGAAAATCTGAAATATCTTAAATGTCTCAGATTCAAGCTTGAGCTGCCATGTTCACTATATATTC